TTCGTGCTTTCCGCTGTTAACTTTAGCCTCCGGGTGTGCACCTCCACACCGAATCCCAGAGACTCCAATATCCCTTAATTAAGGAATATACCTTAAATCTTATTAGGGTTCCTATTATAATTTAAGGTAGGTTCCTATTATAATTTAAGGTATGTTCCTTAATTAAAGGGTATTGGAGTCTTTGGCATCGAGGCTACGGAAACTACGGCGGCGCCCCGCCGGGGCCACCTGCAGATCGCGCAGCGCGGGGCCTTGGGGGGTACCGTTTGGTGGTGCTTTGAGTGTGGCCTGTCAGGATTCGATCAGGGTTTAGGGTTTAGGGTAATCTGTTGTGCCTCTTTACAACAACAACAACAACAGCAACAACAACGACTGCTGCTGCTGCTGCTGCTGTCGCCGCTGCTGCTGCTGCTACTACTACTACTACTACTGCTACTGCTACTGCTACTACTACTACTACTACTACTACTACTACCGCCACCGCCACCCCGACCACGACCACGATCACTACCACGACGACTACTGCTGGTAGCTCCCCGCACTGGGGTGTGTTCCCAAAGGTTTGGATCCTTCTTTGGTGTCCTTTTGGAGAAGGATGCTACCATTCAGGGTTTGTAGCTTAGCCCCATGTTCAATCCACGGGTGGGGCGTTCTGTTGCCACGGGTCGGCGACAAAAGTTGGTTCCTAAGCATGATAGCTTGAAGTGCAAGCCCTAAACCCCTATACACCCTAAACATCCTCAGCCCTAAACCCTAAACTCCTGGACCCTAAAAACTCGTATACCTTAAACCCTAGACCCTAAACAAAACCCTAAACTCCTGGACCCTAAAAACTCCTAGACCCTAAACCCGAACTCCGGCTCCTAAAAATTCCTAGACACTAAACCCTAAACTCCGGCTCCTAAAAACTCCTAGACCCTAAACCCGAACTCGGGATCCTCCCCAGGCACCCTATTGAGATGCAGTTTTGGGGCCCCCGGTGTCGGCTTCCCCGGCTTCTGGGCAGGCACAGGATGGATGGAGAGTACGCAGGTGTTTAGGGTTTAGGGGCTTCCGGGGTGTAGGGGTTTAGGATTTGGGGTTTAGGGGTTTAGGGGTTTAGGGGTTTAGGGGTATAGGGTTGTAAGTTTGTTTTTTTGGCGGTCTGTAAGGGTTTCATTATGGTTTGGTGCCTGAAGATTTTTTTTGCAAGTGTTCGATCCTACACAGTCGTGCGAAGGTTTTACAGGGGGTTCTTCAAGGATTTAGCAGGATGTCGGATTTTGTCTAGGACATTTTCAGGTGGGTAGTTACCGTTATAGGAGCCTTTCTATAAGGTCTATATAACTTATAGAAGCCTTATAGAAGCCCTATATACCCTAAACTCCCCACCTGTAGTTTCCTTTAATTTTGGGGTTAAGGATTCCTTGTAGGGGTTCAGGCCTAGGTTCGCCAATGTGAAGGATCCTTCCGACTTGCGGTGGTTTTGGGCAATAACCCCTAAACCCTAAACCCTAATCCGTAGTAAGTCTATGAAAAAAGGGGGAGCCCCTATACAAAGGATCCTCTTGGGTTGTCCTTTCCAGGAGGGACCAAGTGAGGGATTTTGGTTTTGAGGGTTAAGGGGTGTACTGGTTCAGGATTCGCAGGCACTAAGATCTGCATCGCTTGTGGGCGCCATGCTTCTCCCAGGACGTGCTTGCGCGAAGCGACGATCCTAAGCCAAGCTCTGTCTAGCCCCTCTGCACGAGTTCTTAGCATTGCATTTGGGTTTGGGGTTCGATAAAGGTTTAGGGTTTAGGGGTAAAGGGTTCAGGAGGAGGGTTCATTCAGGGTTTCCTTGTCGCGTGTATTTTGGGTTTGGGGCGTCTACAGGGTGGCAGGGGACTACGTGGCCGCCTAGGCAACTTCCTCGCAACACCTAGAAGCTGAAGAGAACCGTGTTTTTTACTCTAGTTGTGGGTTTTTGCTGTACCATAACTCTGTACTCTACCGGCAACAAGAAACAGAGGAGACCGGAGACCAGAGAGTAACATCCCAGACCCTCTAAACCCGAAGCCAAAGCCCCAACCCTAAACCCACTTCGAGGTGTCATGATGCGAGACCTGGACCTGAGGATGCTACAAAGATTGTTAGGGAGGTGCCTTCTACAAGAGCATCGAAACCACTATGTCACAAGCAACGCAAAAGTGATGCTGTTCCACCCATCCAGACAAGTTGATCGGAATGCCTGCAGTGCCCGTACTGATCTTTATTACTTTGGGGCAAGTTTATTACCACTACCGACTGACAAGCAGACAGCCCGAAGTGGGCGCGCTGCCGCAGTGATGTATCAGCTCCTGGCAGTGCCTGATTCAGAGCACTCGAGCTGCCGTGGAGATTCAAAGAGTCCGTGCACGCTAAGGGCAGTATCATCGTGGCATACGATGACATAATTTGTAATAATGTCCCCTGAGAGCCCCTACGTAAGTATGGCATTGTCTTCGCCTTTTTCAAGCCATGCTTTGGCAGGCAACAGGTCGGGAAGCACTGGAGGATACTCTTGAAATTCTTCGCACCAGGCGGCTGATTTCAGCATCCCTTATAGCAAGGCTTCCAGACAGAAGTGAGGGTTCTGTGTTTGTTCGCCCCCTGATTTTCTGAAGCCCTAAACCCTAAACCCTAGACCTTCCACCGAAATGTTCGCACTGCATGAAGGTCCGAGAAGCGCGGTGCAGAGCATGGGACTGGCAAGCATCCTACCTGATGACTCAACGTGTAAGACGCATCATGCAGAATAGGGCCCAACATCGACCAAAACTTGAACATGGATGCCCATTCAGGGTTTGGGGGTTTGGGGTTTCCAGGCTTTCCCAGCCACTTTCCAGTCCTTGGCGCCATGGGGGGTCGGCGCCGGCGCGACCGATCCCCGTGCGGAAGCTCGGAGAACTGAATGCTGGTTCTCTAGGGGGTTCGGGAAGGTTTCGGTAAGGGTGCTAGAAGGCCTCATGGCTCTAGCGAGTGATTCTTTGTGCTATAGTCTGAGGATGTCAGAGGACATTGTCAAGTCTTTTGGGAGCGCGATCGCGTCTACCGGACCGGAGCGTGTCAGGCGAAGATTCAACTCGTGTTCTCCCGTAGAACCCTAAACCCTAATTCCCTAAACCCTAATACCCTAAAACCCTAATCTACTTTCACAAGGGTTGGCGCTCGAGAGCTTCTTCTTGCGGCGGAAGAGACGCCCCCGAAACCGTAAAGATGCGGCTGATGGATCAGAACTGCTTGAGGGCAGCGCTCTTGGGATTCATGTGTCGCGGTTCGCCCATGGATGAGATGGATGCCGTGGAGGGTGATTGTGAGCACGATGGATGGTGATTGGTGCTGCAAGTACCTGTTGCTGGGTGCCGAAAAGTTGCCTGGCCGCCATATCGTAAGACCCCGCGAGGCACATGGTGGATAGTAGCAAAAGGGCTTAAAACAATACTAAACCCTAAACCCTAAATGAGCCCTAAGCCCATGTTCGAAGCCCAACCAGACATGCCATCATAGCTGCTTGAGCGGCAGTTGCTTTCTGTCGATGGCCAGCCCCAAGCCACCTCTCGAAGTGGCATACAGGGGTCTGAAGAATCTCCTTCAGAGTCCGAGGTGATTAAACCCTGTTCCAAATCCCACGGCTCATAAATTCGGCTATTTCCGGTCCAAAGGTCCTACAGCCTAAACCCTAGACCCTAAACCCTGTCTTAAATTAGGCTATTGCAGCTATTTCCGGTTCCAAAGGTCCTACAGCGACTACTACTACAGCGATGAGAGCAGAAGCCCGTCGCGCGATAGGCGGCGACGCCGCAGGCCGCTTGCATCCTTCCGGGTGTCTCAGATGGACTTCCGGGCATTAAGCTGAAAAGGGGTTTAGGGTTTCGGCGGTTAGGGTTTAGGGTTTAGGGGTTTAGGGGTTTAGGGGTTTAGGGGTTAGGGTTTAGGGTTTAGGGGTTTAGGGTTTAGGGTTTAGGGTTTACGTAAGGTCCTGCAGCATCAATCAAACTCTCCCGTCCCAGCCTGCTCTTTAAGCCTCTTCAGCGCAGTCTCGTTTGTCACTGTCATCGGTACATGCTGCTCAAGGTAGCAGATTGTCCAGCGACGGCTTGACACGTCAAATGAACATCCAGCCCCCGGATGTCTTGGCATTGGGCCAAGCCAGTGAAACAGACTTGGGCAGACAAAGCTAGGCGAAGAATCCGCTTCTATTAACAAGTGCATATGCCTGAGTATTAACCTGCGCGGTAGGTTAGGTCCTGCGGCCTAGAGCTCTCATTGAGAGTTTAGAACATAGGTACTCTTATACAGAGCCGGTACGATCCTTTTATGAGGAGCCTTGGAACAGAAGCAGTTTGAGGGACCCCTATTCTCGCATAGCCTTTCCTAACCCGTATAAAAGAGTGCCCCTGCGCAAAACCCTTCGAAACCCCACACCCTGCACTCCCTAAAACCGAGCCGTAAAACCCCCGAAACAGGCTTTGCAGAGAACCCAATACCCCTTAATTAAGGAATATGCCTTAGATCATACTATGAAGGTCCTCATAATTTAAGGCATATATCCTTAACTAAGGGGTCTTGGGTTCTCTGGGCAATGCCCCAAGCTCGACCCCCAAGGCCCAGCTGTGTTTTTGGAGGCGACGAGGCTCCCGCAAGCGGCGCGGCGGCGGCGGAAAGGGGACGAGCACTGTCGACAGGTGGTTTTGGGGGTTTAGGGTTTAGGGTTTAGGGTGGGTTGATACTGCAGGGGGGTCGTTTCGAAAACTTGGGGCGACTTTCCACTAGGAGGGCTTGTGAGGGAATATATGGAGCTACACAAAAGTAGATGCTCCCATAATTACGGGTCCATCTTTTTCCATAACTCCCACCTGTAGCTCCCCCCAAAGCTGGCTACTTGCCTGATGGGCAATTCGCAGAGATGTACCAGGATTCCTAAACCCTAAACTCTGAACCCTTAACTGTCATGGTGCCCTTCGGCTCAATTGTTTGAGAGATGCTGTTCGGGCACGTAAGGTCTTTGCAATGGCAGCCCCCACCATGTTGTGGATTTCCCGGCCCCCGGGGGGGAAGCACCAATTTCTGTGAGCATCAAGAACTTTGCAGATGACTTAGGCAGTGCAGGACAGGGTCCGGGTGGATTTTCGTTGAGGCTCTCCTCCAGGTAGCTGGCAATGTAATGAAGTGGGCACCTTGAAGGTTCATTCGGGAGAACGAGCTCAGCGAATCAGCGGCCGCACGCCTTCGTGGTGCATCGCGTGAGGCGCAGCCCCCAGAAGAGCGGTCAGGGGGGTTTTGCATGTGGTCTAGAGTCTACAAAAAATACATTCCCAAAGGACGCGCGATGATCTTGCAAAAGCGTCGTATTTTTGCACTTTGTGTCGACCACCAGCAGCAGGATCATTGACCGTGTGCCAAGCTGCTTTGCTTAGGCGTCGAAACAGAGCCAGAATGCAATCGATATGGACCCCTAGATTCCGTAGATTGCTGCCCCCCCTCCCCCCCCCATATACATTCCAGCCAGTGGTCTCCAAGCTCCGTGGAACAAGTTCCCAGAGAACCCAATACCCCTTAATTAAGGAATGTACCTGAAATCATAATATTAAGGTCCTTATCATTTGAGGCATACATCCTTAATTAAGGGGTATTGGGGTTCTCTGGGTTTCTTGCTCCTGAAGCCGCCCCAGGTGCGGGATGCATGCATCGACCAAGGATGGAACGTCTCCTGGCTGCGCATCAGATCGGTAAGTCATTTCCCTCTGTGCATCTGCGCTGGCGCCATGGCCCATGAAAAAAAGCAGCAGGAGAATGCAGGAAGCCTGGAACAACCGATCTGCTACTTGTGAAAGCTCCTTAATTAAGGGGTATTGGGCTCTCTGGGCTTGATGTAGCCCGAAGCTCTAGCCCCTGAATCCTTCGTCGCGGCTCATGTGAGGCTCGGTGTTTTGGCTACAGCCACCATTGCAACCAAACGCACCAAATAACTTCAAACAAGAACTATGAACACAGCACACACTTCCACAACTGCACGGCACACCTGTGTTTTTCTTTCAGGCGGCTTGTTGTGTCCAGGCCCCTCGTGTGAGTGCTCAGGTTGAAGTTGAGGAAGCAGGAACGTTGTGAAAAAAAACAGGTTCGTCTTCTAGATTGTGATCGATCTGGGGCATTAGAGTCATGAGCCCGAAACCCACTCTAAACTCTCATCTTCGTGTGTCGCCCAGGTGATTGAGAACGCCCGCAATGCCAGCGCAGTCGTGGTCTCACGGATAAAGCCCACCTGACCTGCATTTTTGCACTGTCTTCTTCGTCACCGTGCGATCTAGTTATAGGTGCAAAGGAAAGGGAAATTTGTTCAGTACATCAGCCCGGAGAACCCCATACCCCTTAATTAAGGGAATATACCTTAGATTATAAGGACCTTCAGATTATGATTTAAGGTATATTCCTTAATTAAGGGGGATTGGGTTCTGTGGGTCAGTGTCGGGATCTGTTGGCCTGCATCGCAAAACCCCAGCATCAGTCCCTGAAGCTGCTCAGAGTGCATGTGGCTTCAGCATCGCAGGCTTTCTCTCAAAAACAGTCTTCAGAGTAGAGTGTACCCAGAGATCCCAATACCCCTTAATTAAGGAATATACTTTAAACTATAGGGGCCTTAATATTGGGATTATACTTTAAACTATAGGGGCCTTAATATTGGGATTTACGGTATATTCCTTAATTAAGGGGTATTGGGTTCTCTGGGTAAGGTCCAGGGTTCATCTGTCACAACGTTGCATCTCGAGCAAGCCAATGCAGGACGGAAGCGTTTGTTCTTCCGTCGCAGGACCACGAGCTGGCTGTGCCGCCGTTGGGTCTCTAACATCGAAGTCTAAACCATGTCCAACATTGCTCCTTGAAGTTCCTAACTATATTATAGTATAAGGTGCCCCAAAGCCGTATTCCAACTCTTAAGGCACCTATATTATACTCATGCCCCCTTTCGTGGCATTTCCAAACAAGTCTGAAGCTCGATCCTGCCTACCTGCTCATCAAAAGCTGAAGATCCATCCTAAGCCCTCTACATGTGTGTGTGTGTATATATATATATTTATTTATTTATTTGCTTATTTATTTATTTGCTTATTTATTTGTTCATTCATTCATTCATTCATTCATTCATTCATTCATTCATTCATTTGTTTCCGTACATACATACATACATACATACATGCATGCATGCATGCATGCATGCATATATACATATATACATACACATATATGTATGTATATATATATATCTACAGTTCAAGGTACATGTTGTAGTTAACCCTACATAAGGCCTCAAGCTGTCAGCAGCTGCCAGGAAGATCGAGGACTCTATGAAGGGGGGCGGAGGTGGGGGGCGGGATCGCTCCAGAAGCCCTCCTCCCAGATCCGGCGGCGGAGGAGGCGGAGGAGGAGGTGGGGAGTTTTTTGTTTTTTTTTTGTCCCGGGTTTGCTCGCATTTTGTAACTTGGATTTTTGTAGGGTTTGGGGGTTAGGGGGGATTTGGGAGACGTGTGGGAGGACTGGTTCAGGCTATTTTTACCTTTGTTACCTTTATCATCGCCTGCTGCAGGGGCTTGCCGGGCTTGGGACTAGAGAACCAATCAGGATTCACCAGGACAGAGAACATCGCAAAACTGTCGGCTTTGCACCTGTGCATGTTGGAGCCTTAGCATATCATAGACAGTTGCTTGAGACTCAGTGCGAGAGCGGCTTTTCCATGCACACTGTGGCACGCATCCGTATGTAGATATACTTTTTACATAAATATATGACATTCAGCCTTACATACATTGGTGATCTCCGGGTTCTCGTTGTGAAACTGTGCGCGGTATTGAGTTCTGATCGTTCTGGGGCCGTGCTCCTGGATCAACACGGTACACGTCATGAGACACCTGCTGCAGGAGGTGATGTCCGTGAAGGAGACTGGCATCTTGCTGACAAACTTAGGTTTATGGCCTCAGAGTTTTAGGATTTTAGGTTTTAGGGTTTAGGGTTGACGATTCGGGCGATTGTCATTGGTGCTGTTTGCGGACCGTCAGTCCTTTTGAAGCTGGAGTGTCGTATGCTGCTTTGAGCCAAGAATCATGTGCTTTCGCAGGAATTTGAATTCTGATGGCGAGTCGAGCGAGCGGATCTATTCGTATCTTAGGCACTGCAAGAGCTGTGGCGCTCACAACTTCGCCCGTCGCACGGAATGCTTCAAGCTTCTTGGACAACAGAAACATGTCGGTAGTCCTCTAAATTAGGTTCCTCTTTTACGTCCCCAATATAGTACGGCACCCTTATAAAAAGGATCCCAAAAGGGACCCTAATTTGGAGAACTACCCATGGTACGAAGCTTGTTCACTTGTTTTCGGGTGGTGTATGGTGAAGGGGTCTTTGGTCGTACGGCTGATGATATAAATCCTGCACTACCCATAATCAGGAACATACCATATAATTCTCATAGTAATAAGGAGTATACCATAACATAATAAGGAATATACCACAACATAATAATGAATGTGCCATAATTCCTCTAGTTTAGCTTGCTTATCATCAACAGTAGTTCTGCGTGTCTCATAGATACATAGTTTACTACAACTCAGCAAGTAGCCCATACACACCTCTTACAGACTCCGTGTACAAGCCCTTATAGAAGCCTTTTTAAAACCTGTAATCGGATCCGTTTTAAAACTAAATAGAATCCTTTTCTTAAAGCCTTAAATCGGAGCCTATTTTAAAGCCGTAAACAGAATCCCTCTTTTAACACCTTAAATATGTTCCGTTTTAAGGTTAAATAGAGCCCCCAACCCTTGAGGCCCATAGCCTTTCTACAATCCTGTGAGTCCCCAGAGCGAAAGGTCCAAGTGGCCCAGGTGTGGGGTTTGGGGGACTTAGGCTTTAGGGTTTATTTATTGTGTGGGGTTTGGGGGATTTAGGGTTTAGGGTTCAGGGGTTCAGGGGATTTAGGGTTTGGGGGCTCTTCAACCTCTTCTGCGGCTTAGGGTCCCTAAGGGTCAGGGGTTTATAGTTTAGGGTTCAAGGCTTGGGGACAGAAGGTCCCTAGCCCCCGAAACCAAAATTGAACCCTGAGCCTCAGAGGGCGGAGGGTTTAGGGTTTGGGGTTTAGGGTTTAGGATTTGGGGTTTGGGGTTTGGGGTTTAGGGTTTGGGGTTTAGGGTTTAGGGTTTAGGGTTTAGGGTTAGGGCAGTATTACAGAGCCCTGAAAGCGGGCTTTGTAATATCACCCTAGAGCCCTGAAAGGCCCTAAGCCCGTTTCAAGGGAAAAGGAACCCCCCAAAAGGAACATCCTTAGTTCCTTGTGTTATAAACCCCCCCCCGAAACCGAAAACCCTGAACACTAAATCCCCCAAACTCCAAAAACCCTAAAACCCCAGTAGCAGAACCCTAAAACCCCAAACCTGAACTCGCCCAAGAACCCCAAAAATCCTAAAACCCTAAAAGCCCTAAAAACCCTAAAAACCTTAAAAGCCCTAAAAACCCTAAACACCCTACAAAACTTAAACACACCAAACCCCCCAAACCCCCAAAAGCCCTAAAGACCCTAAGAAAACCCTAAACACCCTAAAAACCCTGAACCCTAAAAGCCCCTAAAAGACCCTCAAAACCCTGCAGGTGCGGTGCTCCCCGAGGAGGCTCCCGCTCCCGCAGACGCTCGCGGTCGCGGAGTCGAAGCTGAGAGGTCGAAGGCCGCAGTACGGCTACCTAGGGGCTGGGTACTATAGGGGTTTAGGGTTTGGGGTTTAGGGTTTAGGGTTTAGGGTTTAAGGTTTAGGGTTTAGGGTTTAGGGTTTAGGGCAGTACGGCTACATAGGGGCTGGGTACTATAGGGGTTTA